CCCAAATATGTTCACATCCTGATCCCCAGAGCCTGTGACTGTGTTACCTTATGTGGCAAAAGAGACTTTGTAGATGCAATTAAGTTAAGAACCTTGAGATGGGAGTATTATTGTGGGTTATCTGGGAGGACTCATTGTAATCACAAGGGTCCTTATAGGAAAAAGGCAGGAGAGTCTGAGTAAAAGAAGTGACAACAGAAGCAGAAGTAATACGGAGCCATGAGTAAAGGAAATGCAGGCAGCTGGAAAGGGCAAGAAAACAGACTCCACAAGGAACACAGCCCTGCCGACCCATTTTAGACTTCTGACCTCCAGAACTGTAAGAGAAGAAATTTATGTTGCTGTAAGCCACTCAGTTGGTGGTGATATGGTAGAGCAGCAATGGGAAACCAACACAGGCTCCAACAGACCAATCTATAACCGTAAACTTTTGTTCTTGTGGCTCACTCACTCTCTTCCAGTATACCTAACCGTATTGTCACAATTAATTCTCTCTCCTGGCCTCATTTCCTTTCCTAGATACCTACATGCCATGATTTTAAAGTTTAACACCTCTGTTCTCAGGATGTCAAGGTACTAAATAAACACTTATCCTTACACTTCACCTACTCTGATAGCTCAAATGTTGCAACAAACCGACTTCCTGCTTTCTTCTCTCCTGTACTGAGGGTACTAAATACCTCAGGAGGAAATAACTCAATCACATGTATTGGTGCCACTACAAACTCGTGATATTTAGCCTCAACAAGGTCCTCAGTCCCTGTTTATTCTTTTACACGACTGTCAAGAGTTCCTTCTATTTCTCATAACAACAATTCCAAACCATCAACTCTTCTCAAGTCACCTGCCTCATCATTACCCCTCTCTTTAGTAAGTTACCTTGACTTCTATTTTTTCATGTGTGAGGAAGATTGGCCCTGAGCTAACATCTGTTGCCAATCTTCCTCTTTTTGCTTGAGGAATATTGCCTCTGAGCTAACATCTGTGCCCGTCTTCCTCTGTTTTATGTGGGATGCCACCTCAGCGTGGCTTTATTAGCAGTGCTAGGTCCATGCCTGGGATCCAAACGTGTGAACCCCGGGGTGCTGAAGCAGAGCACACGAACTTAACCACTACACAACCAGGCCAGCCCCTTGACTTCTATTTTTGACAGCAAATTGAGGTGTGGTATGGTCTGCCTCCAGCATGTCTTCTTGCTGCAGACCCCCTGCTCTCATTGTCCCTGCTTGTTTCTCACTGCTGCTTCTGCCTAAAACGCCTTCCCTCCATCCTCCCCTTGCTCTCTCTCCAATTAGCAGACATTTGATCCTGTTCAAAATGTCTATAAGACATTTGGTCCATGCCAAAAGGTCCTTGATATTTGGTCCTGTTCAAAACCATTTGGCATGAACCAAATATGCTCATGGACATTTTGAACAGGACCAAATGTCAAGGACCTTTTGGCATGGATTAAATGTCTTATGGGCCAAATGTCTAAAGGTCTATGGACCACTCCTCCTTTATGTTCCCATTTTATGAATATACTTCTATTGCAACTATCATACCACAAATAAAAATGTTTAACTACATTTATTTATTTATGTATCTCTCTCCTTTAAGTGTGCTGAAAGTGAAAGTGAGGTGAATTACAGTATCTTACTTGTCTTGTTATCCCCAGCACTCCAGCACTATGCCTATAATATTTTGAGAAATGGTTAAGAAAGACAGACCTAGCAAGATGGTGAGTGATGTGGCAAACAGCCAGCCTCCCCCCACCACATACAGACACCATCACCACCACCACCAAACATCAGTCCTGCCTCTCACCTCCTCCCGGTGATTAATCTGTTTGGAGACTGAGGCTTGCCCCAGACCCCTAGGCAGAAGCTCACACCAGTCAAAAATAACAAGTGCACTGGCATATTCATCTGAAAGTCCTGCTTCATCAAATCCACTTCAGAATCAGGAAGCCAGTCTTGGATACCTCGGTGCCCCAGACCATCTGGTCAGGTGGCACAGGTCCCACTTACAAGGTCAGTTTCTTACTGCCCTGAACATTCCAGATTATGCTGCAGAGTAAACTTCTTCTCTGAGCTGTCACAGGAAAGTTTCAGAATCATCATTAGTCTCTCCCTCACCCACTTATCCATTTTAGTTCTCAGTTAGGCGGCAGGAACATTTCTCCTGAGCATCATCGTGATCTTCTAACTGCCCCTGAGGACAATGGGATGGTCTGGGAGGACAAAGACGGGCAGCACCCACTTCTTATGTTCTTTTTCTACAGAGAGAAGTAGTAAAGGAAAGCAGCAGTGAAGTGGCCAGAATTCTGAGAGCTCAGAAATGCTGGAAATACTGACCAGCATTTGGGATCTCAGGGATGACCACACTCTGCTTCGTGGATGCTTTGAGCCTAAACCAAACTTTTAGCTTTAGAAGCAATAGTCATGAACTAGGCCCCGCATCTAAATGATGGTCCCTTGTGCATTCAAAAGAAATCTTTCCCCCAACAGTAGTCATGCAGATGAGAGACGAAAATGTAATATTGCTTCTTTTTGGCACATTTTTGGTGAGAGTTTGCCTGAAAATTCCTCTAAACATCTGGGGACTAACGCTATAGTGATGAAAGGCTGCTAATAGCATAGAGAATGCTGAAGATGAGCACTCATGAGCAGCTCTATACAAAGGATGCACATCTTGTGCCAAAATAAAAAGGAGAGCCACATTGCAGCAGAGTTCCTAGGGACTAAGACGGGGAAAGAAGCTGGCTTTACATGAAACTGGCAAAAAACACTCTCACACATGTGTCAGCGTTACTGTCAGATATTTAATCTTTCTATAGGTTCTGTCTTTGTAGACAACTGAAGGCAAATTTACTAAAACCAAAAACAAACATAGGGCACATTCCAAAGCAAATATATTTGAAGATTGTCTGAAAGTACATCTCAGCTTCTGCCTTCTTTTCCTATATATTTGGGGAGGAAAGGGGAAGAAGAGATGGAAAGGGATAGAAAGAAACTCACACTCTTGAAGATTCAGCACAAAGCCTACCTTGTCCATGAGGTCCCCCTTAACCACTGCAACCCACAGTGATCTTTCCTTCCCCTGAACACCTATAACATTTTTCATCTTGCTCTCTCCCATACCGACTTGCATTATTAGATATCCATTCATGATCCAAGAACTCTCTCCCCAATTCGCTGCAAGGTCCTTGAGGACAAGGACTGCTTCTACTGCTCCACACTACCAACACAGTGACTGAACATAGAAGAGGCTCAAAATATTTGATTGCCTGGATAATGCCATCAGGAAATAATCCTAAATCGCAGATATGATTTTGTTATACAGTATATGAAATTTAAGGAATCAATCTATCTCTGTGTTAATGTTTTACACCTTGTATTCTGCAATTCCTGAAAATAAGTTCGGCGGGCTGTGTTTGGGGAATTAGAGGAGGGCGCTGGGGGAAGCAGAGTGAATGTTAAACTGTATCAGGCCAATGAAATAATGCCCACATGGGATTAAAATAAACCGGATCATTGACAGTCTGCCTAAGAGGTAAAAGGTGTTTGCAGACTTCACTTAGTAATTAGAGCTGAAAGTCTGAGTCTTTCAGGGTCACTTCTGATGCGGGGTCGGTGAGCCGAGGAGTCGAAAGAAAGATTTCATAGACTCTTAAGATCTGGCAGTAGTGCTCTTTTATTTAGAGAATAGTGTGGAATAGCATGGGGACAGGACCCATGGGCAGTCAGAGCTCCTGCTGCTCTGAGTTGAGGGTTAGGGCTAATTTTATAAGTCATGGGTACGTGACTTATTTTTACTGGAAAAAAGAAAAGATGATGTAAAAAGTCATTAAATGATTTCAGTGCAGATGGGGTCTGGTTATTGTGCGGTCATATAACTTTAGATATGAATCTGGCCATATAGATCGGCATGCAGGTGAGGATGCCCCGGGCTTCTCTCCCTGGGGCAGTCCTAATTCATACCATAAAAAAAGTCTGATGCGGGGTCGGTGAGCCTAGGAGTCGAAAGAAAGATTTCTTAGACTCTCAAGATCTGGCAGTAGTGCTCTTTTATTTAGAGACTAGAATAGCATGGGGACAGGACCCATGGGCAGTCAGAGTTTCTGCTGCCGCCGCTTCTGCTGCCCCCGCTGGCATGGGGACAAAGCCCATGGGCAGGCAGAGCCGCTGCTGCTGCCCCCGCTGGCATGGGGACAGGACCCACAGGCAGTCAGAGCTCCTGCTGCTGCCCCGAGTTGAGGGTTAGGGCTAATTTTATAAGGCATAGGTATATGATTCATCTCTTTACAAGACAAAGGAAAGAACATGAAAAAAAGTTAAAATGGTATCAGTGAGGGTGGGGTCTGGTCATTGGGTGATCCCATGACTTTTAGACAAGAATCAAATCGGATTAAGTAAAGGTTAGAAAGGTTAGACGCCACCACCCTAAACCAGTTACATGAGATTGCCAGACAGCAACCAACTTAAGTTCTTGCCTTCCCCATTAAGAGCTTCTAGAGATAAGACCATTCCCCCTTCTTCCTGGCACAGAGAGGGAGGCATCTTCACAGATAGAGGTTTCCCTTAGAAATGTAAATGTTTCCCAACAAAGGGGCAAAACAAATTCCACTCCTTGGAGCCTGAATCTCATCTGTAGTTTTAAAACTAACCAGCCTAAAAATCCTCATCATAAGCCATTTTAAAATTAAGCAGCCTAAAAATCCTCATCAAGTCCACTGGGTCATATAGTTTGGCACGTAGGCCAGGTCACCTTGGGCTTCTCTAGCTGGGGCAGCCTTAATCCACATCAACTTCCCGCAAGGCCATCCTCGGTCGGAACAAATTTCTGGGGGAATTTCCGCCCACCTTAGGCGCGCACGCGCCCTGCCTGCACTCGGTTCAGGGACCAGGCGGCGCTGGTGCTGTCACGGCAGCTCCTCACCACCAGGAGGCGCCCGGCAGCGCCGCGCCTCGGGGCGCGCGGACGCTCTCCCAGAATGCCTCGCTCCGCGACGTCGACCCGGAAGCTGTCGCCGGCGGCCGCCGGCTGGCAGCCCTGAGCGGCGCCGGGCTGCGGGGCGCGGGGCTTGCCCGTCCGGCCGGCGGAGGCCTCACCAAGACCGGCGGGGAGGTCACCGTTGCGCCCGGTGCACGTCCGGGCTGGGTTTGGGCGCGCCCCGCGGTGTGCGGCCGCGGCCCGCGGCGTCCGTACGTGTTTGCTGAGGGCCTAGCGGCTCTGTGGCGGGCGGGGCATCCTGAAGTCTGCCGAGTTTTCCCGGGGAGCGGCCCGGTGGACGCCCCGCACCCGGCTCCGGTCTGAAACCCAGAGGGCGGTCGTCGAGCAGCGCCTGGTCCCCTCAGCCATGCAGGCGGAGGCTGGGGCCCCGCTCCAGGCGACCGCAGCCACGTCCGGCAGTGGCCTCAGTCACCTGCTGAGCAGCCGGAAGCTGCTGGCCGCGGGGGTCGTGCTCTGCTGGCTCCTGGCCGTCCACCTTCTGGTCCGCTTGTGGCTCCTGTGCCTCCTGTCGGCACTGCTGGCGGTGCTGGGGGCCTGGCTGGGCTCGGACGCCGTGGCGGGGGCCTCAGGGCGACTGCGCCTGGAACGCCTCATCCCGGTGGCCAGCTGCGCTCCCAGCCCCGAGGCGGAGAAGCAGTTGGAGCAGGAGATCAACCGCACCATCCGGATGATTCTACGGGACTTTGTGTCCTCCTGGTATCGCTCAGTGAGCCAGGAGCCAGCCTTCGAGGAGGAAATGGAGGCGGCCATGAGAGGGCTGGTCCGGGAGCTGCGGAGGAGGATGGGCACAGTGGACGGCCGAGCGCTCGCCCGGAGCGTGCTCACGCTCTGCGGCTGTCATCTGCAGAGCTACATTCAGGCGAAGGAGGCCACCGCAGGGAAGCAGAGCGGCACAGTGGAGCCCTCCCAGCTCTGGGAGGCCTACTGCCGGGCCACTGCCCCGCACCCTGCTGTGCAGAGCCCTGGTGCCGAGGTCGCCCACGCTCGCGGCCTTGTGAATTCGTTGCTGCAAGGACTAGTGCCAAAGCCCCACTTAGAGACCCGGACCGGGCGCCACGTGGTGGTGGAGCTCATTACCTGCAATGTGTTCTTACCACTGGTCAGCAAGCTGTCAGACCCTGACTGGATCCACCTTCTGCTCGTGGGCATCTTTTCCAAGACCAGAAATAATGCAGCAGGAGTGGTGAAACCACCCTGCACAGCCAGTGCCCTGGAACAGCCCTCAGTGCCCACATCTCTGCCGCTGACTGTAGAGGTACAGAATCTACCAGAAGTGACAGCCCCTTCTCCAGCAGGAGCCCCGGTGCTCCTGAACTGTAGGGAGCCAGAGGGGCCTTCACGCCCCTCCCCCGAGGTTGAAGAAGGCCATGAAGCTGTAGAGGCAGATTTGGGTGGAGTGCCAGAAGAGAGAAAAGTAGGAAACAACTCATCTCATTTCCTACAGCCAGATATTCGAGGCCCCCTCTTCTTATGTGAAGACGCTGAGCTGGAGTCTCCGTTGTCTGAACTGGGCAAAGAAACCATCATGCTCATGACCCCAGGCAACTTCCTCTCTGAGAGGATCCAGGATGCCCTCTGTGCCTTAGGCGGTTCCCAGTCTCTAGAGCCTAAGGACGGTGAAGGAGCTGAAGGAATAGAAGGAGCAGAGACCGAGGAGGGTCCAGACACAGGCCTCCTGGTCTCCATGCTGAATTCCTGCCCAGAGATCCAGATTGACACAGCAGACAAAGAGGTAGATCAAGGAGATGTCACCTCCCTTACAGCTTTGCTGGCAAGTCCAGAAAGGACCTGCCCCCCGCGACCCTCTTGCTTAGAGAAGGATCTCACCAATGATGTGAGCTCCCCAGATCCTAGTCTGCCACAAGTTCTGCTTTCCTCCTCTCCAACCGGTCCTCTCAGCTCAGCCACCTTCAGCTTTGAGCCCCTGAGCAGTCCAGATGGCCCAGTTGTCATCCAGAACCTTCGTATCACTGGCACCATTACTGCTCGAGAGCACAGTGGCACCGGATCCCACCCATACACACTCTACACAGTGAAGGTAACAGGATTAGAAGTGTGGTCGTCCACTCTGGGCTGGGATTGGGGTTGGAAAGCAGAGTCAGTGAAGCTAGTTTTCTCAGGGAGAGAGGCCACCCCTAACCTAGTTTGCTGGGTCTGATTCAACAACTATCTATATGTGAACAGTCTGAAGCTCATTTGCAAAGCAGAGTAGGCTTCTATGCAATACCTACACAAACAATCCTAGAATCTCAGCATTGTTAGGATACTGAGGGTCATGTTTTTCAGGGGTTCCCAATGTATAGAGTCTTGTCCAGAAATTCTCTTCCCAAACTTCTTCCCTGCTAAATTCTTTCCTTTTTTTTTTTTTTTAAGACTAGTGCCTTTTGTACTCTGTTTTGGGAAGGAAGGTTGTTTCCCCTCTAGACACCTTAAAAGGCCGTAAGTTCCTTATTCCTAGCGATGTTTAAGCACAGAAGTAGGAACTGCTTGGCAGAGATGATATGAAGGGGGTTCATGTATCAGATGGCTGGTTCGATTAGAACAGCAGTTCCCTAAAACTGTCTTTAAGGTAGGCTGCCTCCAAGTCACCTGGAGAGTTGTATTTTTAAAAAGTATGGAATCCTGGAACCTATTCTTGGGAATTCTCATTCAGAATCCATGAGAGCCCATCAAAATCTGTATATTTAAAAAGCAGCCCAGGTGATTTTGAGGGGCAGGCAGGTTTTGGAATGCATCAGTGTTGAATAGTGCCCCTGAAGGAGCAGAATATTCCACAGAAAACATCACAGCTCCAAGTGCCCCCATTGTAAAAGCCCCACCCTGAACTCCGCCTGTGTCTCTTACCTAGGCCTTTTCTTCTCAGTACTGGTCCAAGGGACTACTTTGCTCATGTCAGCTCTCTCTCTCTGACTCTAAAAAGTTCTAAACACCAGCCTCGAGTCCCACCAAAAAGGAGATCGTTTCTTCCATCACTTGCCCACAGTATAGTATACTTCAACCAAACAATAACGATAACCTACTCCTAATGAGCACAAACTCATATATATGGGGGAACATACATCTCAAGTTGTCTTTTCCCACGTTCCGGCCTTCCAAGCCTATGGAGACCACCTTTGACTCCTTACAACATCTCCAGTCTTCACATGACTTCTATTCATGCAGATGATGTACTTAGGGAAAAAAAATTCAGTTTAGCTGCAAGAATAATAATCTGCCCAAAGCAAAACAAAATGCATGTCCCTTTAATGCATTTCATGCAAACAAATGATTTTTGTTCATCAGCTGTTTTGGATTATTTGTTCTTCCCCCAACTAACATAGATAAACACTGGTTGAGTATAATGGCAAAATGATTATCCCCTTATAATCTCCAGCGCCACAATTTAGGGGTGAAGGAGGGGGTGTCATTTTTATTGGTGTTGTACCTTCTGTTTTATATGCTGTCTTTGGGATTTGAAAAACAGTTATGTAGCCATTTTTATAAGTAAGGAAAGTGTTGTGAGAAGGAGGTTTGAGATGGAAGGAGTGAAGAGCAGTAAAATTCATTTCTCACTTGGGACCATGTATGTTGGGAAATGCGTCTCATTCATTATTTCATCCTTGGAACTCGAGTTATTCATTACCACCTAGAGCAGCAACAGATCTCGTTGGTTCAGGAGCAGAATAGGAACGTCTGCCTCCCTTGACCCCTACTCTACTCTTACTTTGTGGCCATGGAGCTGATGCAGTAAACTGGTTTGTTCATTCCACAGTATGAGACAGCTCTTGACAATGAGAACAGCAGCGGCCTGCAGCAGTTGGCCTACCACACTGTGAATCGCCGCTACCGTGAATTCCTGAATTTGCAGACCCGTCTGGAGGAGAAATCGGATCTACGAAAGTTCATCAAAAGTCAGGAGTTTCCCCAGCCCTGGCCTGCCTGCTTGCTTTTCACATCCAGCCACCCTGATCTGAGAGGCTGGAGGCCTGTTGGTTTGTGGGGTGGGGTGGAGGAGAATGCAGCATCAAAGGTCCTGCCGTGCTCCCCAGGTTGCTTTCAGATGTTTCAGGGTTTAGTGCTGGACAGCACTGATCACATTGTTTCTGAGTTACTCCTTTGCTACTGAATGCTTTGTTCTAGGGCCCCATCTAGTTTAAACTTGAGAAAGAAACTTTCACATTGCCATCTGTGGCTATGAGGTAGCATGAGGAGTCAAATTAACTTTTCCACATTCATAGATTACTCTTAAATATTAAAATATTATCCAGAAATCCTTGCCACCTTTTCTTTAACAACCAGGCTTTTTTTTGTGTGCTGTTTGACACCCATAAGGCACAGGGACAATAAGAAAATGTAATAAAATTTAACTCTAAAAAATAAGCTAGTAAGCAGCTACTTTGTTTTTTTTTTAAAAAATGCTGGTGACTACTCAAACATTTTAATAAGTTTAGGCATAAATTATGGATTTCAATTATGCATTTTCTTTCTTAATAACATTAGCTTAATAACAAAGCTTAGTAACGTAGCTTAATAACATTAGCTAATACTGAGCCATACTTGAAAATAGATGCCAGATTCTCTTCTAAGCACTTTACACATACTAGTTCATGTAATTCTCATAATAACTTATGAGATAGAACGATTATCCCCATTTTACGGAATAGAAACAAAGATTAAGCAACTTGTGTAAGGTCATTATAGTACACATTGGAGCCAAAATTTAAACTTGGGCAGTTGGACTTCAAAGCCCTCTTTGTAACCACTGTAATGTGTGGCTTCTTATATCTTAATATTTACATTAATAATGAGAGAAGGTTGTATATATTATGTCCTTATTTTTCTATTTGGAGTTATTGTTTGTATTTATTTAATTTATTGTTATTATTTTTATATTTGGAACTCCTGAAATAAAATCTCAGGGAAATATATTCAACAGTTCTGTTTTCTTTACATATATGATGTGTTTTATGTGGAAATAGCTCTCAGTGAATGTTAAGTGAATGAACCCTTTTTTTTTCTTTTTTAAGATGTGAAGGGCCCTAAAAAACTCTTTCCAGATCTTCCATTTGGAAACATGGATAGTGACAGGGTAGAAGCCCGTAAGAGCCTCCTGGAATCATTCCTAAAGGTCAGCATCCTTCTGTTATGGCTGTGTTCTCATTCTAACCACAAGACACTCAAGCCATGGTGGAGAGATGTGGGAACCAGAATTTCTCTTTGAAGTCCTTCTTGTGTCTTTTGCAGCAACTCTGTGCCATTCCTGAGATCGCTAACAGTGAGGAGATGCAGGAGTTCCTTGCTCTGAACACAGATGCTCGTATTGCCTTTGTCAAGAAACCATTCATGGTCTCCAGAATAGACAAGGTACTAGCAGGGCCACCGTGCTCAGTCTTAGTTTCTCGTCAGAGTGGAGGCAATGCTTGAAAAATAAGGGAGGTGGGAGGTGGGGAAAGGCAGCACAGGGGAGTCGATAGAATATGGACTAGAATTTTCAAGACCTGTTGCCACATATTGGTTGGATCATCAACTTGCTGAATTACAGTGAGCAACTGTGAGGATACAATACTCCTGACACTGTAAGTGTACACATATCTCCTGGGGATATCAAGACATTGTTATTCTAGTAGAGAGATGTTAGGATAGATCTGTATCTCCATAGATAAGTAGGGGCAGGAAGGTCTCTTCTGGAGGTGAAGGTCATTCCCAGTGTCAGGAAAGAGAGCCCTAAGACAGGACACTAAGCTGGGTTTAAGTTCATTGGGGGATTCTCTACAGCTTGCTCTGGTGGTCTAGGGATTAAGATTTGGAACTCTCACCACCATGGCCTAGGTTACTTTCCTGGTCAGAGAACCACACCGCCTGTCTGTCTGTTGCTTGTCACACTGTGGCAGCTGCATGCAGCTGTGATGCTGAAAACTATGCCACCAGTATTTCAAATACTAGCAGGGTCACCTATGGTGGACAGGTTTCAGCGGAGCTTCCAGACTAACACAGACTAGGAAGAAGGACCTGGGTCTCCACTTTTGGAAGAATTGGCCGTAAAAACCCTATGAATAGCAGCAGAGCATTGTTTGATAGAGTGCCAGAAGGTGAGAGGATGGTGCAAAAAGATTGGGCAGGGTTCCACTCTGCTATCCACAGGGTCTCTAGGAGTTGAAATCGACTCGATGTCACTAACAGCAGAGTGATTCTCTGCTAGAGAACAGAGTGTGGAGAAAATTGTACCTTCTTCAAGATGATATCTCAGAACTCTTGGAGATGATAGGAGAAGGACATTTGTGTAACACATTAGAGCCTGTAAGCAGTTATTACCAACTGATTTTCGAGTCTCCAGGGCAGAAGTATGAGGTTTATGTTTATCAAAAGATGGCATGTGTTTTAAAAGGTTAGAAAACTGAGTCATTGGTAGAAGAGGGACCTCCTTCTCATCTAGACTTCAGGGGATAAAATGATGAAGTAGAATTTCATGTGGTAGGAGTTAGGAGACATTCCCTTCTGTGAGGAAAAAAACTGCAAACTAGAAAGGGATGAATGAGGTAAAATCCCCAGAATTCCCTGCAGATGTGTTCCTCCATGCAGTTGTGTTCATTCAGTCATTCTCTCAGCATCTACTTACTGCTCACCTGTTTAAAGCCGTGTACAGTACTGGTTGCTCATGATAGAACAGTGAACAAGACCGATAAGGACCCTCCCCTCACACTACAATTTTGTAAGCCTAGAGAGCAAGTTATATTTCCCAAGCTACGTTATCTACATTTATGCTATTCTCTGTGTTCTTTCCATGCTTTGTTATCCCGCAGTCTTTGTTGCAGTCCATCTCAACCATTTCAGCCTTGTCTTCCCTGTGCTAGTTGTTCTGCTCCTTGTGGAGGGTCAACACAAGATTGAGTTAAAGAAGGCGTGGTTCTGCTCTCAGCTAGCAGTGTTAATTAGCAAGAGGCACCAAAGGGAAAGTAAATGTTTCTTTCTTTTTTTTGATATTTTAGGGTTTCATTTGATTGTGCATTGTCCTTTTCAGCAAATACATCCTTTTCCCATTCTGAGAAAGAGATCGTTCTTACTTTTCAGTGAGGGTTGTTTTATTTAGTCGTTGTGAGTAGAGAAGTTTATATCAACTCCAGATTCCTTAGTTTTGACCTGAGTGATTTTTGTTATTCTTTCTGTCTTAAAGAAGAAAAATTGTTTGAATTAACTGGAGAAACAGTTGTTTACTCTGTGTGAATTATGCTGAGCATGTGTATGTTATATATGCCTCTAGACTGTATTTCTGGTTTGTTTGGGGGTTTTTTGGTGAGGAAGATTGGCCCTGTGCTAACATCTCTGCCAGTCTTCCTCTATTTTGCATGTGGGATGCCGCCACAGTGTGGCTTGATGAGCGGTGTGTAGGTCCATGCCCTGGATCTGAACCGGTGAACCGTGGGCCGCTGAAGTGGAGCACAAGCTTAACCTCTGCGCCACCAGGCCCGCCCTCTGGACTGTTTCTTATTTTGATAATCTTCACTCTTTCTTTTCTCTGTATATTCCTACCCATATAACTTCCACTTATTTACATCTTGGTGAAAGTATTGTCAACTTGGAAACTAAAAATCATTCTTTTATATACAAAGTAAGAAACTTTGAATGAAAAGTATTTCACCAGCCTGCTAAGTTCCCAGGCTTTTATTTATCCCATTGTTTGTTTTGGCTTCTTTGCCCATGGCATTGTTTGTCTTCACTGTGTGAGGAAGAAGATTTTTATGGCTGTAGAAAAAAGGAAGGATAGTTGACCCTAAGCCATTAGCTAGTACCTGACTGTGTTGTTGGATAAGGCTCTGCTAGATAGCCTGGCTATCTAGTCGCCCTGATTGCAGAAAGCACTGAGAGACAACTGCTCTTTTGGTGGTTTCTATCTGACCCTGCACCTCTGACCCTTGCAGATGGTGGTGAGTGCTATTGTGGACACCTTGAAGACAGCGTTTCCTCGCTCTGAACCCCAGAGCCCCACGGAGGAGCTGAGTGAGGCCGAGACAGAAAGCAAGCCCCAGACAGAAGGCAAGAAGGCCAGCAAGTGAGAAGCCCTTCAGTCATCCAGGAACCCTTTCCCACTTCTCAGGTTGATCCCCAATCCTTAGCCAAAGCCCATCCCCACTCAAGCCCTAGAAGAGAGGAGGTGTGTCATACGTCATACATACCAGTCTTTATGCGAAGCCACGCCCCAGACTCCTCAGTGCTCTACCCAGGGGAACCTAAGATCCTGCATGGGCAGCCCTGCTGAATGTTTGTCTTGTTAAAGGAACCCAGAGCCCAAACTCGCCAGGGATTTTCAACTAGAAGGAAAACTCTAGAATGTGGATAATCTCCTTTTCTGTTTTCCTGGAAAATTGAAATGTTTCTTCCTATTAAGGATTAAGGCTTATAACTAATCTCTGTTTGCCATCATTTCTGGAAATCTTGGCTCAGAAGTTGTATGTGCTAGCAATAAACAGGAAACGGCTATCATGGACACCTGCAGGGCCTATTTTAGTAACTGGTTACTGCTGCTACTCTCTCCTGCACTGAGGTCCCAGAAGTTCCCTGGCAGCACTCAAAGCCAAGAAACGTGCAAGGGAAGGGCACCATGTTTACCCTGGCTGAAAACTTCTTAGCTGTATCTGGGCCATTGTTACGAGAGAATGTGTGTGTTGGGGGTGGTGAGGGTGGAGGTGGAGAGTGTATATACGTACGTGTGTCTGTCTGACTGTCTATCTTTGTCTCTGGGTTCATGTTTCATGGGCCAGCAACAGCAGACTCCCAGTTCTTAGCCTTTTTTTACCAGGCCCATATTCTGAAGGATGACCATGATGCCTCTGCTTATGAGAACTCTATTCCTTGAAACATTGAGGTTAGCACTTGCAAACCTTCTCTGGTTTTATTTGGAACACAAGGGGAATAAATGGATGTGCAGAAAGGGTACCAACAACAATAGCAAAAACCTTGGTCTTTGCCACGTAGAGTATATGCTAGCCCCTCTTCTAGCCTATGGGGATTACAGCTGTGGCACAGTGGTCCCTATTTTACATTAGCAACAGCCCTTTCACAAATGCATTGTAGACGTAGCTTAGTGTAAGAATTGCACTACATATTAAGGATTGCCAGGACATAGATTGTTTGGGGGATTTCAGGGCCAGGTCTCTCCTGGTAGCTCGAACCACAGAAAGCTCCCAAGGATAAGTATGGGTGTTCTTGTTTTGAGGTGTTTATACTTGTCAGCCCTTTGTATGGTTATCAAGACCATGAATCACATTCTGTTTGTGCTCTTTGTTTCTGTACCAGGTCCAGACTGAGGTTCTCATCCAGTAAAATTGCTCCAGCACTGAATACGACTGAAGCTCATGAGAAGATTCTCTATTGTCTCCAGGAAGGCAATGTGGTAAGAAGTTCCTAGAGAACTGCTAAAATTAATAGCTGGGGTATTGATCCTGCAATTATAGGCAGTTGAAACTTTCTCCAAATTCAGAAGGGAGTTAGGACTTAGTAAAGGACTTAGCCAACGTCTGGAGTGGTACCTGTTTTGTTTTGTTTTTTTTTGAGGAAGATTAGCCCTGAGCTAACATCCACCGCCAATCTTCCTCTTTTTGCTAAGGAAGATTGGCCCTGAGCTAAGGTCCATGCCATCTTCCTCTATTTTATATGTGTGATGCTTGCCACAGCGTGGCTTGATAAGCAGTGCTAGGTCTGTGCCCGGGATCTGAACTGGCGGACCCTGGGCTGCTGAAGTGGAGTGCATGAACTTAACCACTGTGCCACCAGGCCAGCCTCTGGATCCTCCAATTTTTATTCTGAAAGTATTTTCTTTGAGTGGTTTGGAATTTCTACTAGTTCTGGGTTGACAAATTGGCTTCTAAGGGGTCGTGGGTTTGGGATAATGGATGACAGAATGAGAAAGAAAGCCACTTCCTGGAAGAGAACACATGACCCAAAACTGTTTGTGGCGGGTTAGACTACAAAGGCACTGTTTTATTTGCAACCTGGGTAAAAGGTAAAAACTTTCCAAAGGTGGTCACAGGGTCAGTTGAGTTCCTCACGATACTTTCACAGGGAAGGAATGGGGAAGACGTAAAGTGCTGCGATTGCTCTCCTGCTTTCTGCATCTTTATGTTATGTGCCACTGGCTCTTTCTTCAGGAGTCAGAGACCCTATCCATGGCTGGGATGGAATCTTTTATTGAAAAACAGACAAAGCTACTAGAAATGCAGCCAGCGGAAACCCCAGAGAAGGATCCTGAACAAATACCCCAAGGATGTGTGGATGGTTACTTGTCAGATGCAGCTGTGCCAGCCCAAGACCTCAGCCACGGAGATCCAGGTAAGTGACAACATCCTTGCTCCCACAGAGAAGGGAGCCAGGGTAGCATCCATTTGAGACTTATCGTAGTTGGGATTCATAGCTTTAATTTCTCTTCTGTTCAGCTAATCAAGCCATGTGTTAAACACCAGTGTCTGAAGTCCTGTGCTGAGTGCTGGGATACCAAAGATACACATAGTCCCCAGAACTGAGTCATGCAGAGGAGCAGGGCGTGAAAACAGGGAGTTCCAATCCAGCAAGATAAGATCCATGCTTATAATACCATTTGCTTATTTAAGATATTTTTTGGCATGATTTGGCATATCTTTGGATTACTCCCTTTATCTAGAAACTTTCTTCCCTTAGTGTCTGTGGTACCACTTTCTTGGTTTTCTTTCTGCCTCTCTTGTGGTCTCTTCTCACTTCCCTTTGTTGGCTCCCTTATTGGCCTTCCGGAGCTCTATTTTTGGCTGTCTGTTCTTTGCACACTCGCCCTGTGTGATCTCATCCGTACTATTGGCTTCAACTCTAACACATGTGCTGATGATGCCTAAATTGGATGTTGTATTTCCAATTGCCTTTCGGAAATCTCCACTTAGATATACCACAGGGCAGCTGAAGTACAACATGTGCAAAATGGAATTCATCTTTTTCCATGGATATGTTCCCTCTGTTTTATTTACTGCCATGGCAAATGACACCACCTAGTTACCCAAGGTAGAGCAAGGAGGGAGAAGAAGAGAGGACACTGCTTTCTCCTTGTAAGCATTTGAGGCAGGGTGGGTTTGCTTCCCAGAAGTGCAGGTGTTTTAAACAGAGGAAAAATTAGGAACCCTGGATATTGGTATGTTTGCTGAGCTAGGACTTATCAGAAAAAAGCTTCTCAATTCCATCAAGACAAAGGTTCCCGCTGAAAATAAAAGATCACAAAATCTTGGGTTCAGAAAGAAAAAAAGGGCTGATTTCACCATTCTCTCTCAGGTGCCCATGAACAGTCGCCTGACCTCTGCTCTATAGACCTCACCTTAACTGTGTGAAAAAGGGAGTTTACAACCCCATCTCTTCACACTTCTCTCACTGGCTAAGTGAAGTATTATGACAGCAAAACGTCAGAGAACTATAAGAAATTATAAATAAGATGGGATGGGTAAAGCAGTATACTTCTAGCCAAAAATCAAGCCTGTAAATTTTGAACATCATATCTCTAAAGCCCTTCTTCTAACCCTGAGAGACTCAAAATGTTCATCATATGATAGGAAATTTACCATTTTCTTCAAAAGAACTTGGTGCCTTGTTTGCCGTCTTATTTTTTACTGCTATGACTAATTGTCACCACATGGTGGCAGCTCTAGGTAAATGCTGAACCTGAGTTATTGAATTGAGGAGGGTGACTAAAGCTCAGGATGATGCTGTTTCCCAAGGAACTGAATATCCCATCTTTGAGCAAATGACTAGAAAGCAAACATATCAGCTCCCATGTCACCTTGAAATACAGTGCAGGAAAAAGAAAATATATATTAGATGAGATTAAGATGAAAGTAGGATTCATTTCTAGCAGATTCATCCAAATCTGAAGTCATTCATTTTCCAGAGGAACCCTTAAGGGAAGACTGCTTGGGCAAGCTGGCCCAGAGAATACCCAGTGGTCCTAGACTAATAAAATTATTGTTGATGATTACTTATAATTTTAATCACAGTAGTAGCACCAGATAGCTGAGATTCCATCTGGAACATTGTGTATTCCTTGGGAAGTCTCCTAAGAAGCAAATCAGAGGTGACCTGGGACCCCCTGAGCAGGGTTAGAGAACAGATGCTTCCACCCATAAAATACATCTGTTCAGAAGACTTCAGTTTAGCATGGGTATAAGCTCATTTGTGGCCTTTCCAGTCTTCAAAATAGGAAAGAAATCAGTAATTGTCATGACATTTTACCAGAGGCGTAGTGCTCTTCTAGAACCACGTTATCTCAAAATCAGACTGAAGCCTCCTGGATCACAAACCAACATCTCTGTGTAATGGAGATGCTTTCAAAGCAACTCTTTTGGGAAAATGAATCCCAAATCTTCCTCCAGATCTGCTGCCCACAACATTTCCATGATGCCTTGTGGAGGCAAGTGGAATGTAAGGATGGAAGAGACTGGGCCTTGCCAGTTCCAGTTAGTCACCAGTTGTGAGCACTTACTTGGAACAAAATATGTTCAACTCCTTGGGGAAATTACAAAAGAAACAAAAGCTAGGTATGCAAAATCTTTTAGAAGATAAAAAATATTTACTAAGTGACTAAGGAACATAAAAAAATTATAAAGAAATACAGAGCCTATCACTGAACTTTTTAGATATGATGTAAACATCTGTTGATTTGAGTACAAAAATACAAGATGATTGATGAAAAGGTAGAAAAGACCCAGTGCACTGTAATATATTCCTCAAGTATGTATCTTTTCTGAGTTACTTTTGATGCCTTTTCATTCCACAGGAACAGAGACAGAATTAGCTGACACAGCCCTGGATCTGCTCCTCTTGCTACTAATGGAACAGTGGAAATGGCTGTGTACGGAAAACATGCAGAAAGTTCTCCGTCTTATCTTTGGGACCCTGATTCAGAGGTAAAGACCACTAAGTTCTCCTTCACGTTAGACTCTCAAATTGGACAGGGCTTGGATGTGATGGTGCATTCTCCGCTAGAAAGGGACAGTGTAGAATCCAGGCAACCTGTGGCCTTAAGGAAAGATGGAGTGTCGTTATAGGGGTACAGGGATGAAGACTGCCTGGAAAGTATCAGAAAGCTTTTATTAATTGCCTTGTTGTGTAAAGTTTGAATGGGTCTGCTTCTGTAAGACTTCTGGCAGAATCCACTGAGTTACAGACACTGCTGTGATCCTAAAATGCTTCACCTAAACTCCTCCTACTCTGGAATCAGTTCTCTACCAGTTATACCTCTAAGCCGTGTACCTTTCACCTTATTACAGCAGACATGTTTTCGTAACTAACACTATATGGTCACTCTGATGATAAACATTGAGAAAGACAAGGAGAAAACCAGATCAATGCTCCCAAAATATAGATTGTTTTCTCTGAAAGGGGTGTAGATATTCACAACTGAAGAAGTACTGACTGACACAGGGTGGTAAGAAATGGAAGGATACTTGGATTTGAAACTTGGATTTTATAATTCGGCTTTGTGATCCCAACGCTACTTGCATCTCCTGAAAGAGTTGTACATAGATGGAGTTTTTAGCTGCTGACTTCCTAACCGTGAAACTGATACAAGCTTTGCTAAACTGAGGAAGGCCAGAGATACTCTCTCTGAACCAGACAGACACACATAGTACTTGAGCTTTGGCCACTCTTGTTTTGATCTCTCATAAGACATCCTGGCAGATCCCAAAGTAAGAAGCAGCCAAACGCTGACCTCTTCTGTTAGCATGTGGTTCGTGCTAATAGGTCACTTCAAAAATAAAAACTTCTTTTAAAAAAGAATTATGTATCTATTCTACAAGTAGAAAGTCCATTAACAACAAGCAATTAAATCTCCCTTCCCACACTCAGAGTTACATAGCGTCAGGGAAGCTTAATAAGCTTTAATCAGAAAGAGACTAAGTGCAAGAAGAGGATGTATCTTTATATTTGTTGAGTGCTTATCATATGCCAGCACCTAGCCTGTTTATGTATATTTTATTACAGCCACCAGGTGAGGTTGGTGACCCATTTTACGCAGTAAGAAAATAGAGCTTGGCAAGGTCAACTAACATGCCCAAGGTCACATTAATGATACACCTGGAATTTAAGCTGAATGTATACGGTTCCAAAGCCAATGTGCTTTTTCCTACATTTTATAGCCTGAAGACTGGTCTCCAAGAGAAACCCACACAGAAAATGCTGACCGTTCTGTGTGCCTTAGGCTTTCCCCCTTGTCCCTCCTCCATACTCACCTCTGCTACTAGAGTGCTTTTTTCTGAAAAGCAAATATGAACATGTATTCTGTACTTAATATCTTTCAATGATATCCTCTTGCCTACAGAAGTGATTTTTCCAGTATGTTACCCAGAGTTCTAGGATTCCACAGAGGTGCTTCAGAAGCCAGCTTAGAAGCTAAGGGGAAAACTAAGTGGTCCATGATCCAATCAAACCAGTTCCACTTTGATCAGTTTAATAGACTGGGGATCTAGGTAAGGTTTTGTTTGAAAAAGGGCTCCACTGTGTTTAAAATATATGCTTATTTACTATATTAAAATTCCAACTCCTTTCTTATGTGGCATGATCTGGTCCCAGCCTTATTTCCAGTTCTTCCCCATGCAAACCAACCGTTGTGGCCTAAACATTCTGCGGACTCTCTTCCTTCAGGCCTTTGCTCTTTCCCTTGTCTCTGCCTGAAGTGTCTTGCTCTACTCATTGATCTCCTGCTCTGTGTGTCTCGGACTTCCCTCTTGTCTGCTTGGCCTATTGCTAAATGTTTTCAAAAAGTTAGCATTACATGTCATTTATTTTGTGAAACTTTCTATGGCATCCTTTCCCACTTTACCCCAGAACTGAGGAGCCCTCTACTCTCAAAGTTTTGATAATTCTTATCGCAGTAAATTAGAGAGATGATCTACTTTCCCTAAACTAGTGGTTCTCAACTGAGGGGCAGTTTTCTCCTAGGTGTATTTGGCAATATCTGGAGACATTCTTGGTTGTCACAACTGGGAAGGTAGGCAGGAAGCTATTTCATCTAGTGGGTAGAGGCCAGGGATGCTGCTAAACATCCTATACTACATAGGACAGCACCCTCCTCATCCCAAACAACAATGAATTATCCTGCCCAAAATGTCAGTAGTGCAGAGGGTGAGAAACCTTGCCCTGCAGTATCAGTTCTTTAAGGGCCAGAGCCAGCTTTATAAACCCAGCAACTTAGACAGGGCCATAGAAGATGCTCATTAAATATTGGATGAAAGAATAAACATTTCCCTTCTCAATGCCTTCATACTTGAAAGTATACTCTTATGTTTTATTCAGTCACTTGTGAATGTTGCTAATTGAACCTTCATTTCTCTTCACCCTCTGTTAGGCTTCTTTTTGCTGATCTTCTAAGTGTTTTCAAAAAAATGGGAAGATTCTAAAACTAACTACTGTGTAATAATTGATTACTTCTTTCTCCTCTAAGTTATTTACTTGATGAATTTGCTTCAGAAAATAGGAAATTATTCAGTAGGAATGGAGAAGTATAGATGAGTCAGGAGAAATTCAAAAAAGATTGAGATTCATATATAAAAGAGGTCAGAAGTTGTTTTCCTAAAGTTTGACTAACTCAGAATATTAAAGGGCTTGGGCTAGTACCAGATAAAGGAGAGAGAAGTATATTTTTGGAATTACAGGAAGATCATTGAAGTAGTATTTTACATAGCTAGGGTTCTTGGAGATCTAAAACAGGAAAATTAAATACAAAGGAATTGCAGGCTGTGAGAATTCCAACCTGTTTGATGAGATAAATTCTCTAGTAATAGAGAATAGATAAGAATAAAATGGAGTGAATGGGGTGTAAAGAAGTAAATATATTATGCACTCTAGTTTAAGCTGTTTCTTAGCTTGACTGGTAGAAATGTGTCCAGGCTATTTTGTAGCAGTCATGCCACATCAACTTAAAAAAGTCTTCTCTCTATCCAACTGGGGAATTGTTTTGGTGTTATTCCTGTACTCATTGAAAAAATATTAAGGGCTGATACGTAGTGAACAAAACAGACACAGTCTCTACGCTGACATCTTTTATAATTTAGTGGGGTTGAGAACTGAGGGCCTTATCTGTGATCACAAAGCTAATGTTTGGTGGAGCCAGAAGTCAAACCCAGGTGTTCCACAGCCCAAGTTCTCATCTGCTACAATATACTACTACTATGCTGTATTTAATCTCTCTGGGCTTTGGTTTCCTGATCTGCAAAATAGGAATAACAATGACATCTATCTCTAGGTATCTAGGTGTGTAGAAAGTGTCCAGTAAATGTTAAGTCTTAATATTTTCTCTTCAGAAAAAGAGTAGGATAAAAAGTATGTTCTGTTTCTAGTTCCTCCAGCTGGTGGCCCCAAATTCTCTCCATTTTTTATGCCTTGAGGATGCTCTACCCTATACCAGTCTCCTGCAGCTACCACAATCCTATTGTGCCTGTCTCTCTGAGTTACACAGAATAGAGTTTCTAAACAGTAAAGGCTTTGTGAGTCCTTTCAAGGTGACTGTGTACCATAGGGCTCATTTGTTAAAGCAACAACCAGAGCATCCACATGTCTTACATCAGGAAGCAGACCACCTGGGTCTCTTTCCAGCACAGACAAGCATAGGTTAAGTACAGAGTTCAGTCGTATTTTCCAGGTTTAATGGTGCTCCTGGTTACATGAGGGGGGAGAGCTACTGGAATGAAGTAGTGCCTTTCCTCATGAGAAGAGCTTTGGGTCAGGCTAAGTTCCTCACATTTCCATCCCCCTTCCCTGACATTTCCACTAGAACCACACCTCTGGTTGGCTGGGTAGATCGCTGTCTGGTGAATGGAAACGAGCAAAACCCACATGTAGATCATGCCATAAACAAAATCAGGGAGAAAGCTTACAGCTGAATTTCCCTTGACTTTCTTCTCTTTTCACTTTTTTTTAATGGGGTGGCATCTCTATTTGTTAAAGCGGGGAAATTTTTAATATATTTAATGCATTTGAATGAAACCAATATGAATGTCGTGTAAGAACAGAATTTTGTGGCTAGTTGCTTTTGGAACACTCTGTAACTGTGGTCTTTTACCTTTGTTCATCCTAGATATTTCCAGGTGATGATATTTTGTACTTGTTCAGTTGTCTCATATCCCTTCCTGTCAAAAAGTTCTTACTTATATCTAATGAAACTTTATCCTTAAGTCCATTTTGTTTTGTATTAGCTGCTATGGAAATAGGAACACAGGTGGTTGACACCTCCTCACCCTAACCCTCCACAGAGTAGAATTAAATGGAGTCTTATCTTTCCCTGTTCAAGGCCTTTCATCTTTCCCTGTAAGTCATTATTTCCATCTTTTTAATAATAATCTTGGCCCTCTTCTCAAATATCTTGTGCTGGGTTCACAGTGTTCTTAAAGTTTTTTTTAAGATAGGAATCAATAAGTCATGGGTATCTGGAGAAAAATCCCAATTCGCCCTCCAGAGCCTCAAAGGATCTTATGCCTGTGGCCCAAGGTCTCTTACCAGTAAGTTCCCGTGTGAACGGTACACATGGGAAAGATGGGGCTTATTTTAGGTTTTAGAGTGTAGGCATTGATTATCTTATCAGCTTCAGGATATTTACCGTGCAGCAAACATTGATAGTTGACTTTGTGCAGACACTGTGCTGAACACTAACTCCAAGCATATTGTATCATTAGTCCCCTCAAAAGCCCTGTAAAAGAGGTGTTATGAACGCAGTTTCAAAGAGGAGGAAGCTAAGGCTTACAGAGAACTGATTATTTAATCAAGATCACGGTGCTAATAAGTACCACAGGCAGAATCTGAACCCAGGTTTGTCTGATTTTCAGCTATAATAACTCTAACCCTCAGGATAAGACTTTTGCCCTGTGATTTGGAGGGATAAAAGCCATCCCCAAAATCTTTGACTCCAAAA